ACCACTGTATGGAACAGCAGTGGCGGACACCTCTGCCTAGCCGCTGTCCTATCTTCCGCCCCAGCTGGTGTGGGGGGACTTGCCGGCTTCCGCAGGGCACTGGAGGGGGTCAGCAATAGTGGCGTTTTCCATACGGATCCCAATTCGTCAGTCACTGACGTAACGTTGAACGTGACTGACTGAATGGGAACGTCTAGGTTACTTGTGTAACCCTCGTTCCCTGAAGGAGGGAACGGAGACGTTACGTTCCGTCGCCACAGTTGCTGTACCACCGCTGTAAGGCCGGGGCACGTAGTCTCGGCTCCTCAGCGAAAAACTGATGTGCGCTTGCACGTGCTCTCCTTTTATACCCGTGCTGCAGGGCAGGGTGCGCGTGGCGAAACATGCACGCCAACTGTCATTGGCTTGTTTAGTTAACACTCGAAGGTGATTGGGCTCTCGGGCGAGATCCCAATTCGTCAGTCACTGACGTAACGTCTCCGTTCCCTCCTTCAGGGAACGAGGGTTACACAAGTAACCTAGACGAAATTCCTCCTATTCAGGCAGAGAATTGTTATGTAATGCTCTGTGGTGCTGTAAATAACATTTACTCTTTACAGATGCTTTCATCCGAAGCGACTTACAAATAACCTAGATATGATATGATGTCATATATTCTTAGGTGCATGGCATCCTGGACCTGTTCCAAAATTTTAATATTAATAAATACAATAGTTGTTCCGGCACCAAAAGTGTTACTCTCACAAAAAGGCTCGAGTTTCCTTTGAACTGCGAACTGTTTAGCTCACAGAAACCTTGTTCCAGGTGTTCATGTCAATATAGTTTGTTTGCAGTCTTGTTGTGCGCTGTTTGACATGAGTGATCATACAGCTTTGAGATGTTTGAATCATCTCATTTAAATGTTAGATTTACCTCAAAGAGCAGCTAGGCTGAATTTCGTCATGTGCTCTTTGACATGTTGATTCTGTCCTGTTTCTTTGTTTGTATGTCAAGCCAACTGAAAACTTGCCTGTCCACTGCATTTTAAATTCATTTTTCAGTCAGGACACAAACCAGGAGACAAACAACTGTCAAAATCGATCATAATGTGTATATTCCAATGGGAAAATGGAAAGAAAAAAAAAAGCTTTCACAGGTCACTCAAGATCAAGGCTCTCTCTCTCTCTTTTAATAGACATGAATGATATGAAGTGAATTTGTCACAGACTCGCAGATAAGAAATGAAAGAGGGTTAGGAAGGGTTAATAAAAATGAAACAGCTTTTCAAGTTAAAATGATTCATTTGGAACAATGCTCCCTTGAATATTCAAAAAGTCCTTGGCTTTGCTTTTATAAATCGGTCTTAGATAAAGAGAAGTCCAATTTCTGTTAGTTTTTTTTTTTTTACAACCCTAATTTGCAGAGTGTGCCAAGGACATATAACTGACTGAACCGTGATAGCCTACTCAAACAGATACAGAATATGACATGAATGCTGACACAAAATGTCCTAGCAGATGTTAATATAAAGCACAAGCAACACCCATCAGTTCAAAAGAAAAGCAGGGCCAACAAAGCAAATCATAAACAAACAATACCAAAGCAAGCATTTAGTGCATTATTGCCAGTCTTTTGATTTCTTACCACATCAGATGATATATGCTTTTATCCAGATGAATAAGCTTCTTAACCTGAAACAATATAAACGACTAAATGTATCAGTGTATCTCATATCCCTGCACATCTGTTGCTTTTGTGCAGACTTGAATAGAATCTGAGGTGTTTTGTTTTTTAACCATTTAAATGGATTCTGGATTATTGTAATCCTTGGTTATTAATTTCTCACACTGTTCATTATACTTTACCCTATTTTAGTAATTAATCCTCCAGATTTCAGGATTTCCTACTGTACGTTTGTAAACACGGGTTTAGCGTTGTATTTTGCGTATTTATAAGATTAGTTAACACTGAAATGGAAATGTCGCCACATAAATTCGCTCTGGTTGTCTTCTGACATATAAAGTAAGATGATGGTGTTTATTATAACGACAATTAACGCGTTTGGCGTCGTTGTTCAATATTTTAAACATGGAGTAGGTATGCTAAACAGCGCGAGAAAATTCATCGGATTATAAAACGTATATTAATATTTAATGAGGTCAGCGCTGATGCTGTTTATGATTGGCTGCGAGTTGTTAATTGTTTTGCAGGTTTAAATTTATACGGGTTTTAAAACGACATAAAAACAAAGTGAAATATGTAAACCTGCTGCTAAAACCTTTTACTCTAGAGACGACTCCTTTTGAGTTACATACAGTTATTGAACATTTTAAACTATTGAATGAGCATCATGGTGTGTGTGTGTGTGATTGTGTTTTGTAAATAAGTTATTATGTTTAGTTAGCTGTCTATAATATTTAGATTTTTCTGCCTGCTTGGTTTTTGGTTGACTTTCTGAGGGTTTGTTCTGAAAGTTATAACAACTCGTGTAAATAATTGGAGAAGAGATTAATATATGATGGTAAGGCAGCACATCAAACTTAAGTGTCTTTCTCTCTCATTTCATTCCAAGGCTGGAAGGGCCAAATAGCTAAATAAACAAAGCATTTGCTGATGGATCTGAATAAATTTACACCAAGAATATGTTTAGGTCTATGACACACAAAAATTGCATTATGTAAAGGCCAAAGGTCGCATTGTACAATGTACAAACAATAATTTTACAAGTACAACAATCTACTCGGCTGCCTAAAGCAGTACTAATGGTAGTCAATCACAATGACAAAGATAATTTCATTTAATTCATTTAGAACTTTGAAGAACTGACAGATGTAAAACATTCACTCATCTGACTTAGGTTTGATAGAAAGCTCTTCTCCTGGACGTCTGGAGGCCATCTTTCCAGGCTCTGATCCAAGAAGCAACATCTGGCACTATTCATCTCTTGCTGCGATTGCTTTGGTTCAGACACATGTCCACATGCTGACAGGAACACACTCTACGGTTTTAGTTTGTGTGATGGGCCTCTGGTCGCAGCTTTTGTTGTCTAAACGGACGTCATACCCAAGCTTTGATCATGGCACTGAAACATTCCAGCATGTTTACTGCTGAGAATATTGCAGTTTAAATATTCATGTCAGGTCTGTTTCACTTCCACTGTGGGCAATTCTGTGAGATTGATGGATGAAAAGATGATAGATAGATAGATAAAGAACAGATAGCTTGATAGACAGATCAATAGACAGACAGACAGACAGATACAGATCGACACGGACAGACAGACAGACAGACAGACAGACAGACAGATAGACAGATAGATAGATAGACAGATAGATAGATAGATAGATAGATAGATAGATAGATAGATAGATAGATAGATAGATAGATAGATAGATATACCTCACTGGTACAGCCAGCTGAAATTAAGCAGATAGGTGTGGCATTACTCAGAGATTTGAGCTCGGTGTGTGTGTGTGTGTGTGTGTGTGTGCGCAAAGCGGTATGTATCACCAGCTGTCTTTCATTCACTCTCACTTGTTGATAATGTTAAACAAGGGTAGTGTGTGGGGGGTGTTGCGCTTGCTCATATGCTTTACTCAGTTATATGGTTTCCTGAGGAAATGGCAGGAGCAGAGGGTGGGATTTCAGCCACAATAATCCACTTTATGAGTCTTGGACTGATCAGATAGATGTCCAGCATTGTAACTGCATCTATGCATTGCAATTACATTGCTTAAAGCACACTGAGAAGTGGTTTAAAACACATTGTGCATGCGAGTGAGCTGAAAACATCTGTTGCATAAGTCATCATTACTCAACCCTAATTGAATTTGCCAGTAACTTACTTATAATTGATGACAGAACAGTTCGAAATGCGTGAGGCTGCAATGCCAGCTCAAGATTAAAACTCTTAAATAGGCAGAAAAACACAAGACCATGCCAATAACTCAAAGTCTTGTTCTTATGCACACAAATCCATATAACAATGACATTTTATGGCATCATCACAAATAGGAACCAGGAAATTAGCTTGCTCAGATTTGTTTGCAACAAGGGAAAAAGCATTACAGATCAGATTTTTATCTGACAGAGACACAAAACAGAGACAAATTTATGTGGTCAAATGTAAAGACAATCTGGATCTGGATATTATCCGGATATGAAAGTTATTATCTGGATATTAGTGGCTGCATGTCAGTGGGTCTTTTCCCAAAATAAAGCACAAGAGAATCGTGTGGATTTTCAATTTAAAGTTGAAGATGAGTTCTTGTCCTTGAAGCAATTTATAAACTTATTTATTTGTGTTTATCTCCATCTACTGGCTAAAGTACGTCAGTACAATCAGTCAACAAAATAAGTTTATTTGAAATAGATTTTTTTTTAAACATACAATAAACATACAGCTGTTTCAGATAAATCTCTACTGCCCACAAAAAGATGCAACAGTCTTAAGGCAAAGAATTTATGAAGTGAATTCTTTATGAAAATACATACACATTCCAATACATAAGTTTTCAAATGAAAGATTACATCTATTATATCAACTACTGAGATGATTAAATGCATATTTTAAATCACAACCTACAGACTTAACGTGCAGCTCAGATGAGAGATTGTTTATTTGCAGAATGTTTTTAAAATATGCATAATCTGTCATAAGCATAAAGCAATTGGATTACAGACGGTAATCAGTACAATAGAAAACAAGAATGTAACATTAAATCTTTTTCTAACCATTTTAACCCAACAGTTGGGTTAGTCCATATTTGACCCAACATTGGGTTGAAACAACCCAGCATTTTTTAGAGCGTTGACATCTAAATGACTACAGGGCAATATCCCACATCTTTCTAGACTATTAGGATCATAAGGAGGCAATAACACTAGCAAAATTTGTCTAAAAAGTGGCAAATAAAAGATAATAAAGCCCTTATATTAATGCAAATTAATTTGGTCGTGCAGTTTAAAATGGACACTGTAGTAAGGCCATGTATGTGTGTTTTAGAGTGTAATAAAGGCATATAACATTTCCGAGTGATCAGTACGGGTCCAGTTTAATTCGCCTATGCAGGCAACAGGTGAACACCATTCCACAAATCTGAAAAACACACACAGAGATGACTTAATGTATCAAAGTAACAAAAATGATGAAGACTGGTCTTTATATTGCATTTGACTAGACAAGAAGGCCATCAGCCACAGTTTCATGTCTGGTGGACATCTGTCCAGTCAAATACCCATAATATCTTGTACTGAATGAGATACTGGCAGGCATCAGGCAGCAGAACATTCCATAAAAAGAGCATCAACAATGTCAGTCTTGAGATTTAGCATTTATTTTTTCAATTGGTTCAAGACTTCACAGGACTAGTTCATGCAAAAATTCAATTTTGTTAAAATTACCCTCAGGCCTTCCAATATGTAGATGAGTTTGTTTCTTCATCAGAACAGATTCTGAGAAATTTAGCATTACATGATCACTTGCTCACCAATGGATCCTCTGCAGTGAATGGGTGCCGTCACAATGACAGTCCAAACAGCTAATAAAAACATCATAATAATCCTTAATATCGCAATAATCCACAGGACTCCAGTCAATCAATACATTTTTTGGAGTGTTTTTGCTTATAAGCCGTGCTTGATCTGTGCATATTTCTCTCCTGATTCATAAAAGATGACCTTTTTTTCACTGAGAAAGCAATATTATGGATAGAGGACTCAAATTTTTGTTGGTAGCAACAGTTTGAGATTAAAAACAACTAAATTATTTATTTGTTTATTACAAACATGCAGCTTTTTACTTCACAAGATGTTAATTGATGGACTGGAGTCATGTGGATCACTTTGTGGATTTATCAGCTGTTTGGACTCTTATTCTGACGGCACCCATTCACTGCAGAAGATCCATTGGTGAGCAAAATTTCTCTAAAACTGTTCTGATGAAGAAACAAACTCATCTACATTTTGGATGTCCTGAGGGTCTGTGCATTTGCAGCAATTTTTGGGTGAGCTATTCCTTTAAAAACGCAGATATTTTAAAAGCCTTGTGGCAATTGTTGAAACTCTCTTCATAAAAGGCTTGCAGGAAGAGGGAAGCGGTGTACAGTTACTATGGAAACCGAGGTGTAAGGCAGCCGATAGCAGCGTTGTTGTAATTGGGTCAATTAGCATGTGTGGGAGTGTGTGTGCGTGTATGTGCACGTGTTTATATGAAGGCTACAACATGTAGGCAGATTCAGACCAGTGGTAACTCTAATAATGAAGAGAGCATAAACATTAATTTACACATTTCCATATTTCAAAATGGCATTTCACTTTTAAATGTTGATGGTTCACAGCCACACTCTTCAAAGGGGAGTTCTTGTGGTACATTTTTGTTGTAAAATTTGTGGCAGCATAAAAAACACCCTGAGATATTCCTCTAGCTGTAATTGTAGGGAAAACTAAAAATATAAAAAATCTTACCAAACCTCTACAAACTCTGTCTACAAACTACAAAACATGATCTAAAAATATAGTGTTTCAACATCTAGCCAGGATTTATTTTTCCTCTCCCTCTCTCTCTCTCTCTCTCTCTCTATCTCTGAAAAAAAGCTGAAGACAAATCGGAAGCCAGGTCCTAGGAGGGCTCTTGGTGGGCGATCATTTCTAGAAAAAAAGATGGAGCCTCATCCTACCCACAAATTCAGAAATAAACCAGAGCTGGAAGTGCAACTCAACTCAAGTATATCCTCGCCTTAATAATACTTTACTGTTATGGGAAAAACCATAAACTTTAAATTGGTTAATCTGTAGTTAACTGTAGAGTAAATGAGCATTTATGGCACATGCCAGTAAGGATCTCTGGTTTATGAGTGTTTTTAGAGGTTTCAAATGAACGTCAGAACGGGATCTGTAATATTTATGTCACTATGTGGTAGTTTATGGACTAAAAATGGGGAACATTCATATGTTAGTTAATAAAATTGGCTTATGGTACAGTGTAATTGAATGGCTTTAATTCACTTAATTCAGAATGTGAACAAAACCAAAATCTATACCAAAGTTAAGATTTAATTATATAGTTTTTCACCTTTTCTAACCCATTTTTTAACCCATATGATATTCTTTCTTTTGAAGATATTTTACAGAATGTCAGAGCTGCTCTTTTCAATACAAAGAAAATGAATATTAATATTTTATTTGCACTTGGGGTCAATAAATAAATAAGGACATTTACAAGAAGCAGTGATATCTGATGCCAAGTGGGACAAACTTGGTGAAAATATGTAATGAAATGCCAATTTAGAGTGTTTAATAACACAAATATGCACAAGAGATATAAAAATACACCAAAAAGTATCGATTTCAGCAAATAATTAGTATAGTTATAGGTCGGTACATGAAGTCACTTATGCTCACCAAGACTGCATTTATTTTGTCAAATACAGTAAAACAGTAATAATCCGAAATATTATGCTAATTTAAAATAGTTTATCTATTTTAATGTGTTTTAAAATGTAATGCTATTTCTGTGATGCCAAAGCTGAATTTGCCATAAAAAAAAAAAGATTGGGAAAAAAATCCTTACTGAGGAACTTGTCATAAAAATGATCTTTACACATAACTGTCATATGTCATTAGCAAATGTAGAATATAGTGCACCAAAAAACTATTTTGTATGCTTTATGCCTCTTTTTTATTATTTTTGGAGCTTAAAAGCCCCCGTCCTCATTCAATTTCCTTGCATGGAAAAGAGTGTCTTAGAAAATCTACAGAATACCTTCCCTTGTGTTCATTTGTCATTTTCAGTTTAAAAAAAAGCTTGTTCTTTTCACGCAACTCTCCTCAATGTCATAAAGCACTGAGTGAGAAGCAGTATGACTGCTGTCTGCCAGCACTTCTAATGCTACTCCAGAGGAAAATAAAGCCGGATGAGAGTGGGATTAACTGCATGGGAGAAAAGCTTGACAGACAACAAACCGAGAGATGGGACTTCAACACAATCAGCAGACCTACACAAACAGCTAGGGACAAACAGTCTTTTTTCTGAGCAGATATGTTGACACCTTTAAAAGTTCTCCTTTCTAGCAGTCTGGGTCCGGAGGGAGGGATACAATAGACAGGAAGAGAGAAGCCTGAAATAGATCAGACACACTGCGAGTCCCACAGCAGGTTGCAGGTAAAAGGTTATATCAGGTAAATGGTCGACACAGTCTACTTATTCTCAAAAATACTGACTTTTTACACTAACATCTTCAGTTATCTGCCTTATGCTGTTATGAAACAATTTTTTGTCTCAAAACACAAATGTTTAACATAATAAAATGGTATTTGGTGACATTAGTTGTGAGTTTTTCTTCAATTTTGCCAAGCAGCATGTGTGGCGTAAGAATGCTGGTTTCATGCCAAACACATACACATAAGTCATACAGAAAGCATGAGGTGAACATGAAGTGACAGGAACAAGGAACAAGGCACATGGACATGCACACACACACACACACACACACACATACAGACACAAGCACAAACTCAAACGGCCGACCTTCTCATCGCATAGCGCTTCAGGAGTCAAACATTGGCACTAGCCAATCAAACGTCAGAAAAGTCTTCTTCCTCTTCTTTATAAAGCAGATAAATAAAGCAGGCAGTCAGCACTGCTCCTACCAGCTACACAACACACACACACACACAACAGATAAGAAAGATACAACCAAAAAGAAAAAGACATGACAGGAACAAGGAACAAGGCACATGGACATGCACACACACACACACACACACATACAGACACAAGCACAAACTCAAACGGCCGACCTTCTCATCGCATAGCGCTTCAGGAGTCAAACATTGGCACTAGCCAATCAAACGTCAGAAAAGTCTTCTTCCTCTTCTTTATAAAGCAGATAAATAAAGCAGGCAGTCAGCACTGCTCCTACCAGCTACACAACACACACAACAGATAAGAAAGATACAACCAAAAAGAAAAAGACAGAGAGAGAGAGAAAGACAAACAAAACAGAGATACATGCTGTAATTTAAGACAAACATTGCAAATCCCTGAAATACAGTGTTTTCTTCAGACAATCTGAGAAAAAGATGTTCAGGGAAAGATAAAGTGTTGATGTATGTTATCACTTTTTTTATAGCAGGGAAACAGAAAATCAGTTCATTTGCACAGTTCATGTAAATAAACAATTCACTCATTAATTTTAATGAGTGTTTTTTTCTGAAGTGAAATATGTTAAATGGTGCTTTATTGCTACGTCTTTAACTCTGTAACAAAATTCAGTGTGTTTTCTAGCTTTTTATTTGTTGCATTTTTTTGTCCATTGAACCTAATCTCCATAATTAAGATGCTTTTAGAAGAAAAAAAATTCTAATTGCAGTATTAATTTATAAATGTATAGATATTGATTTATAATATCTGATATTAAGTTAAAGGGAGAACCAAACTGTTTCTGGTCCCCATTGCCTTCCATAGTACTATTTTTTTCCCCATTCTGTAGGACCAGCAGCTGTTTGGTTACCCACATTCTTCAAAAAATGTTCTGTTCAGCAGAAGAAAGAAATTCATACAAGTTTGGAATAACGTGAGGGTGAGTAAATGATGACTGAATTTTATTCTGGGTTAACTATCCCTTTAAATGATGAGTGGCTTGTAGCTTATCAAGTTCGTTTTAAAGTAGTTTCTTCAATGATACACTGATGCGATTACACAGAAAAGACCAAATCAAACAATTTGTTACAGTATGTTATGCATGTGAACCGACGCTCTAGACCCCTGCAGAGCAGCACTATATTTACAGCCATAATGATGCTAATAATGAAAGATCACTGAAGAGGATCAATTTAATTAGCGCTCCCTCTAGAGAGCCGCTTCAAGCTACACTGTGGCTTTTTACAGTAAAATCATTACATTAAATTCAACACAGGATTTATTTTTAGTCATCTAATCAATCCAGAGCTTCACATTTCCTGGATGAAATAATCACATGACCAGCAGCTGAGACCTGCTAGGAGTGCTGCTTATCATAAAGTTCTGACATACGGTTACAGTTTTAGGCATCTACTTAAAACCTGAGAAAAGGTTCAATTGACAGTTACTTCAATTGACCTCAGGAAATGTTTTAAACAATTTTGATCTACCAAGTAAGACTAACATCCAGTATACTACATAGTATGTGGTACAAAGTATAGATTGCATCCTACATACCATACACTACACTGTGCATACTACACACTGCAAAATCTAAACTTTTTAGAAGAATAGTGTTCTAATAAGTAGTTAAAAGCGAAAGGTGTGACTTTTAATCTAACATTTCTGAGTTTTTCTTGCAAATTCTGAGTTTATATTCCACAATTCTGACTACTTTATCGCAATTCTGAGAAAAAAAATCTGAATTATGGGATAAAAACTTGCAATTTTGAGAAGAAAAGCCTTATTGTGAGTTTATAATTTGCAGTTGTGAGATAGAAATGAGCAATTCTAAGGGTTTGTTAAAAGTTAAAGGTGTGACTTTTTCCTCGCAATTCTGAGAAAAAAAAAAGTCTGCATTAGTAGATATAAATTTTGAACTGTGAGATATACACTCACAATTTTGAGAAGGAAAAAAAAACATATTGTGAGTTTATAACCTGCAATATAAAATAAATCCACTTTATATAAGAATATAAATATAATAAAAATATAAAACAAATATTATAACAATATAAATATTAATTCACAATTCTGAGAATAAAAGTTCAAATTGTGAGATATTTAATAAATAAATAAATAAATAAGCTAATGGAAAAATGGAAATGGTCTTCAATACCAAACAACATATAAAAACATTAAAACCACTACTACCCACTAAAAAGAGAAGGAGTGGGATGAACTTCTCAAAAGTATAATCTATGGTTATTACACATCCCTCCCAGCTCAGAGAATCAATATGAGGTCGGAGCTGGAGTCACATTTCAGTGGTGTTTATATACAGAGTTTATTCAAGGGAAACAGATCAATGGCCCTCTGCACTCCTGCAGTGAATGCGGCACTCTCACTGTGAGATCTGCACTTAAAGCTAAGAGCTCTTTATCTCCCTTTCTTTCATTTTCTCAAACCTGCATGTGGTCTCCACCCATTTTTACCCAACGGGCAGTACTCTGTGTGACTACCGTGCGCATTACCGGTCGAGGGCAAAAACAGAGTCCATTAAACGATTGCCCGCAGGTCATTGCATCAGCTATTTTAGTGAAGGCTTTCATGTTATTGAACCACATCAGAAGACCTCAATGATCCATTGTTCCTACTGTTTCTCTGAGATATGCTTCACAGTAAAAAACATAGTATGCAGGTTATATACATTTTGAGTTGGGCTCAAAGTAAAATTTACACATACACATATATATATATATATATATATATATATACATACACACACACTTTTTTTTTTGAACAAGATGATGGTGAGTACATTTTTTTGAGTGAACCATCCCTTTAATTGCACAGCACACCTGAGGAGGGTGGGGCTTACCTGTAGACAGGCCACGCCTATTCCCACAGCACCAATAATGAGCAAGTGATCTGCCAGAAACTGCTCCAGTTTAGTGATACAGCCGCCCTGTGAGAGACGACAGCACTGTTAACTCCGTTAACAGTTAACTGTATATATCATGTTCTTTTCAGTGTCAACACGCATATGTGGATGTGTAAATTTATTTATTTTGTAGACTGATGAAGAGTTACTGATTTTTTTATTGTGTGATTTACTAGACAGTATCGTGGATACTGCCACAACATACCACATATAGAGTAAAACTAATGGCCCACTAGAGTCCAGTAAAACCAGTGTCGTATTGTATAATGTATCACACTGGAGGTCGGTTCCCAAAAAATATACAGAGAGAGCTTGGGAGGCGTTACTGTAGTGTTACCTCACACTTTACAAGCCCATATATGTTACCAGTCACACCTGCTTTGCTCACAGCTGTGCTTTCTTAGTCTAAATGACCCCCAAGGGGCGTATCAAACACTTCATGATGATATGGTTCACAGGCGTATTGTAGTTCCCACAGACAATGAGGAAGCATCTAAGCATGTGTTTTGTAAAGCAAGTTAAGTACAAATGAATAAACACGTTGCGTAAACGTTGTGTGGGGGTTGATTTGAGGTTAACAGTGTCTGACCCACCTCCACCTTGTAGATGTTCGAGGGGTGGTCTCTCTTTCCACACTGAGGGGTGATGGTCTTACAGCAGCTGTCAGGGACCAGCCGCTTCTCCGCTTCCGGGGACATGATGTACACACTGTGCATCCAGTCAAAGGAGTTGTTGCTCCCACAGCACTTGAACTGTAAGGTGAAGATAAGGTTGTTATTGTTAGTTAGGATCAATTAGGATCAGTGTGCAAAGTGGTCTGGTATTTTAAAGGTATGGAGTAACTGTATTCCTGCACTTTATTCACAGCAAGGATTTTACATGACATTTAGAGGCAGTAGATTGTCGAGCGCATCTAGTTTAAATTAAATTAAAGTGCTGGTAGTCCGAAATAATAAAATAAAATACAAAATAATACATTTATATTACATAAAAAAACAAGCAAAATAAAAAAAACACCATTTTAAAATAAAACAAATAAATGAAGATGAAATAAACATTGAATAAATAAATAAATAACAAAATAAAAATATTAAATATTAAAAAATAAAGCATGAAATAAAATAAAAAATATATATATATATATAATAATAATAATAATAATAATAATAATAAATAAAAAATAAAGCTACTGAATTTCCCACTTCTAGCTGCGTTTTGAATAATTTATGTTCCATTACCATCACAAAAAAATAAATAAATAAAATATTATAATTTTAAAATTATTTGCCTTACCCACATACTCTTGTTTTTGTCTCTAATCTAATTATATAAAATGTTCAATATACTCATTCTGAAATTTGTGTTCACAGCAAAAACCAGAGGTGAAAAGGCCTAGAAACATGCTGGGATTTGGCGTTTCTCACATCCTGCTGTAGTCTGTCCACAGACTGAGTGATGCTCTCTTTTCCAGGTCGGGCATAGTTCTCCGTCATCGTCTTGCTCAAGTGCTGCTTCAGCTCTTCACTCAGCTGTGAGAGACCGAGAGAAGAGAAAGACAGAGAGAAATGACCAAAAAGATAGAGAGTGAGCAGTGTGCAGTGTCATCTGTCAAATGTCTCATCTCACCAGTTGGGTATAGTCCTACAACTAGATCCATCATAAAAGCAATTTGGGGGTTGGTTTAGAGCTTTGTTTTGTAATTCAATAATGTCTAAAAGTGTGTCCAAGTTCACTCACCGCCTGGTAATAAACGTAGGCCAGGACACCAGCCACCAGCTCAATTAGGAAGATCAGAAGCAGACAGGAGAAGTACTGCATGAAGACAGGAACCAATGAACAATACGAATACAATTAATGAACAAAAATCATACAACATCCTTTTCAGAAAACAGGAAATCCACTCATTGCCACTCTAGATATGCTATACAAATTGTAAAATACTGATGGCAAAAATATCCATGGGAAATACACATGAAATCAGAATTCCTATTATAGTTATTATAGAAAGTCATGAATGCCAAGGGGATGTTCTATAAAACTAAAATTGAATTAATGGGAAAAATATATATAAAAATGAACTGAATGGATGAATGAATGAATGAATATGTAACTTAAGCTAACATTTAATTTAACTTGAATTTAACTGGCTTCATTAAACGAAAAGCTAAAAGGTCGCCTAAAAACAATAAAGTAACTATGGATCTTTTGTTCAGAAAATGTTCAATTATTAGGTTTCATTTGCCTTTATCAAGAACCATTTTAAATGGCTTCCCTCTAAAAGAAACAATATATCTTACAACAGGCTCGTTTAAATCACACATCAACAATCAACATTCAAAATGCTTCAAAATGTATCATTTTCCCTGTCGAGGGGATAAAGAAAATAAAACTGGTTTCTAAGAAATTTCTTGCTCGGAGCTAGCAGAGATGGAGATGCCTGACAGATGAAAATAAAAGGCACAGTGACATTTTCCTCAGAGGAAAATAAAGCAATAAATGACTAAACAGAATAAGCCGTCACAGTTTATTGTGGGGAGAGAGAGAGAGCGGGTGATAACAAGTTCAACCCCAAATCTGCCTTTGAAAACGTTTACAGGGAAATATTTCTTGTGGTATAATTGAAAACAAACCAAGCAACAAACAGAAAAATGTTTTCAATATTATACATAACTCAAACTCACCATGACTTTCTGTGAACACACTTATTTCTATTTTAATTGCAATGCGAGTACTGAAGTTGAATTGAAATGTTTCAATCACTAATCTATGGTGACCCAGTAGTGCACAACACAACAAAATAAACACAACTTTGCACAACACAACAAAATCTCCACAACACAATGGAAACAAGCCGCAACATATCAAAATTAGCACAACACAACGAAATTAGTCCTATGCACTGTGTTGTGACAATTTCATTGTGTTGTACATAATTTGTTGTGTTGTGCACTACTGGGCCATCACACTAATCAGCAGAATTAAATATAAGCAAAGAACAGAAATATGCAATTACGCACAGAGACTGTAGACCGAACCACAGACCCAAGAGATTCCACAAAACAGGAAACAAACTTTGTCAAAGTGGATGTGTGTGAGAAAAGAATAAATTAGGGCAAACAAACACAAATACACTGTACACACACACACATTCATATATTTGGCAATTCTCTTCTAGAGGTCGAAAGAAAGGACAGGAAGTCTGATGTAATTTATATAAACACCAACACGAGCACTGTAGCAAATTAAATGAACTGATTCAAGGTTATTCAAACAAAACAGCATGCTGAACAGCTGTTAACCTCACGGCAGCTGTCGCGTGTGGACGTTTCCCTATGCATTTATATGTTTTCCCATAATGCAATGCACTCAGATCAGACCAGCAAAGGCAGTATCCTCATTACTAATTCCTAGCGAGGTGGCGCTCCTCCGTAGATTCATACATCTGAGTGAGAGTGGGCTATAAATAGCACTGCTGCAGTGGCAGTCCCAACCTTGCTTGTCTCGTTCTCTCTTTCGGACAAACACAAGGTACTATCTTTTTAAAAACATGGCGAGAAACAGATGCCGGTCAGCTCATTTGTCACGGCTGCCATGGAGCCGGTTCTGCTTTGTCTATGGACACTCACCTCGACTTACAGGCGACAATAACTGAGATGACCAAAAAGAGGCCGGGATCTAGAGCAATTATATCTAATGAGTGGAGCATAATGGATAAATTGGCACAACATGATGTCCTCTCATTCATCTCTATTCTCTCACCGTGGACAGACAGCTCCTCTGCTCACGTATGACAGCACAGCAGCCCAAGAACCCGGTGACCATCACCAGCCCTCCTGCCAGGATCAGGATGTAGGCGGACACAGCGAATGTACTAGAGGCCAGCAGGCTCAGGTACTCTCCTTTATCGACCAGCGTCCAGATCCCGACACCCATCACCACCCCGCCGCCCATCTGGAAGAGAAAAATGCATCAAGATATCAGAACGTCTGCTCTAATACACATATTACAAGTTTAAAGGGGTCAAATAAAATGAAATCAAACTCAAAATGTCCTTCTTAGTCCAAAAATACTACTTATCATGAATAAGCCACAAAAATGGCTTGTTCTGAACATCCAGAACTTTATGATGAATATGAATACACATGACAGCACAAATTTTGAACCTTTCGCAATGAAATGTTTGCTTATTGAAGAACGGGGCAGCACACACACACACACACAAATATCGGTTTAATTCTAAGGGTCAGGAAGAGAGTTGAAAAATCATTTTATGAAACAATTTGATATTTTAATTAAAATGTATATACATTTTGATTTATTTACATTTTATTTAAAATTGACTAGTTTTGACTGTTTCTTAATGTGGATTCTTGTCATGTTTTTATCAGCTGTTTGAACTCACACTATACTGACGGCACCCATTCACTGCAGAGGATCCATTGGTGAGCAAGTGATGTAATGCTAAATTTATCCAAATCTATTTGAATAAATAAACAAATTCATCTACATCTTGGATGGCCTAAGTGCAAGTAAATTTTCTGCAAATTTCAATTTAATTGAATTAAAAAATATATATACACATTTAAAAATGACTAGTTTAGATTTTCTTTTTAACAATGTGGGAAGTAGAACTGAGGGAAAAAGATGAACTCAAGTGATTGTTAAGCAATAACGATAACAAAAAAGATCTTTAAAAGTCTTCAAATTAAAGACAAAAATAAAGACAAAAACTGTAGTTTTGGAGAGATGGTTAGGGACAAACAATGATGAGATGGTAGCTGGAGTAAAAAAAAAAAACAATGGCGTTAATTATACACATCAAACTGAAACTCCTGTTTCGAATGATAAACAATTATTTCATAGTTTGACAGGCATGTCATTATTTAACCAACTCAAATAATCCTTCATTTACCCTGGGATTTCAGCACAGGTTAATTATCCACCTGTGTCATGCTGTGCAAAGTAAAGACTCCATTAATCTATATGCATACACACTCATTTATCTGTTTCTCAAATCTATCCAAGTCGGAAACTGAGGAAATTCCAAAAAGACTCCTCCCTTCAACACTTCCAGCTCTTTCCATGACACTCTCCAATGCCAAACTCAAACAACAACTATCCCCAAGTCCCATTGTTTTGTTTTTTAATGCTCCCTGAGCTGCTTGCATACCACACACAGTGAGGACTCCAAGTTTGAGAAGTACATTTCTTTACAAAAAAATCTGCATTGAATGAATCACTAGAGTACATGCTTAATATATTTCGAGGTTAAACTTTAAAGAAATTGTTCACCCAAAATTGAAAACGAGTCATTACTTACTCACCCATGTCGATTCAAACTCGCATGACTCTTTTTTTCCATGCAACACAAAAGGTGAATATAAAGAAAGTGAATAAGAATTGTGAGTGAGATACAGATTGAAATGCATATAATCCACTTTTATGGTGCTTTTGTGTCCTTTTGAAACTTTTAAGCATTTTAACTGCATTAAAAAAACAACCAGTGCATTATTCAGAACTTCTCTGTTTGCGTTCCATAAAAGAAAGTCAGTCATACAAGTTTGGAATGACATGAGAGTGAGGAAATTATGACAGAATTTCATTGTGGGTGGACTATCCCTTTAAATGAGTGGATATATGCACAGAGTTGTGCATTCTGGTTGAAGGTGTGGTTCTGAATCATTTCCTGGACTTCTCTTGTTTGGTCCAGGATTTATAGAATAAATCCATCTGTCTGAAACTGCAGTAGAGATGTTACTACAAAGATGAATTGAATTAAATAATACTTCATACTGAGAAATGCTTTTGCTCAGACAGCAGGTTTGTCTTTCTCCACTCAGAAACAAATTCAACTCTAGAGGGCAGTGTACTTGAGTCAATGCACAGGTGGGTGGGAAGAGGAAGTAAGAGTGGGAGGAGAACAAGAGCCAGAAGATGATGGGACAAGACTCAGATTTAAGTTATGATATGAACACGCTCTTTCATTCACATACACACTTTTTCTTCCATCCCCTTGTCATTTGTCTCTCACGGCATCTGATATTTCATAAGAATGCTGCCTACAACAGAATATGGAAATAAAACATCGTTTATGCATGACAAAGTGAAACAACAGCCTAAAATCAAGATTATAACTTTAAATCGTTGCTTCAAAATACAATCCATAATCCTTAATATTGCTTCTTCCAGTGAAAAAAATATATTCGCTGTTGTCCTTTCACATCAAAAGCCAACCAAATATTAATTTAGAACTGTTTTGGACTGTTTTCGCTTGTAAATGATGCTTGAACTGTGCATATTTTTCTCTTGATTCAGACAAAACATTGTTTTTACTGGAGAAAGCAATATTATGGATAGGCATACAATGGTATTGTTGTTTGAAGTTAAAATACTTCAAAATGAATTTGTTTCTGACAAACACACAGCTTTTCAATCAGCTCTTTGAACGCTCATACTGACGGCACCCATTCACTGCAGAGGATCCATTGGTGAGCAAGTGATGTGATGCTACATTTCTTCAAATCTGTTACAATGTAGAAACAAACTCATCTACATTGTGGATGGCTTGAGGGTGAACACATTTTCAGTCATTTTTAATTTTGGGAAGTACTGTTCCTTCAAGTAGCAAAGTGGATCCGAGACTCACCCAAAACAGGAAGTTGAAAACGAAGAGGAGGTACTTGAGACAAACCGTGATCCAGTCACCCTGTTCATCCTTATACAAGCTGCCCATCTCTCCTGTTGGTGAAAAGAGAGAAAACAAGAAGTGGAACAGAAAAGAAGTTCTCATGAAGTGGTGGTTGCTCACGCTTTGTGAATTTACGAGGCAAAATGGGAAAAGGACAAAGAAGAGGAGGTGGGCAGGAACGTAAACAGGCTTTTGGAAAGATGGCAGTCAAACACTGTTCTTTTCCATGACATGTTAATTAACAGCTGTGGCCCATGGGTTTCTGCCACAGACAGAAGACACACTCACATCTCAGGGCCTAGTGTGGAGGAGGTGCGTGTCAAAACAGCAGACATGTATGGCCGATAAAACGAGGGTGTTTGGTTTGAAATGGTTGAAAACAAAAAAACTACACACAGTCCAACCCACACACTGCTGAAAAACGTGAAAAAAACGTGAGGACACCGAATGCAGCACCAGATTAGAAAGGTGACTGACACGTTCTGTTCCAAAACACAAAATTAGACTGCAGACTTTGGTTTATAAAAAAATCCCTGCTATAATGGATTTTATAGTCTGGATTTTCACAGTAAGACCTATCGATTTCTTTCGGACACCGAGGCATAAAGAAGTTGTTCAGAATGACTGCGGGGACATATTGATTTGCTGATCACGTGTTGTAAATGTATGGAGAAAGGCCTCGCTGTGTGTCAGTGGTAATCACTTAGAGTCCTTTTTCTAAAGGGTTATCTACCTGTACAGAACAATAAATACATATTATTTATGATGGTGATAGACACCAAATGCAGAATTTTGAATTTGAAATTAGGATTTAGTACAAAATAATGTTTTATTCATTGCATTTATTATTCACCTCACTGTGAAGGTCTGCCTGATAAAGACAAACGATCCTCTCGTCCATGCTGTTGACAGACCCGATGGCTTTGGCTGGGATTTGGAACACATGCAGGCTTTGTGTCGTTATGGGTTACCACAAGAATTCAAAGAAGTGTTTCAAAAATGTCAAAACTTCTTATTTACTCAACATACTGATTTACTTCAAAAATGCTGCATTACCGAACCACATACTAATTTACTTTAAAAAAAATTTTTGCATTATTAAAGTATTTCATAAAATATTAAGCTTTAAACCAAACCAAGTTTTTTTTGTTGTTGTTGAAAAAAGCAGTAAAATTAGATATAGTTTAAACATACCATAAAATATACTGTTAACATAATAATCATATTAATATAGGTGCTATTAAAGGAAGCTTTTACATAGGCTATCATTAAATGTAATGTGTCATGCAGGGGACTTTACCGTCTTTTTGCTATTTTGCAGCAAACTGTAAGGTGACTTTTAAAAAAAAAAGCTGTTTGCTGGTTTCTGAGTGAAGTTTCAACACAAGACTACCAAACTACTTTAGATGTGTTTTTGTTTCTTTCTTTGTTTCGTTTTTCCTATCAGGGTACTATTTTCTTGAATATAATATGGGCTTTGGCTGTAAAGTATGTGGTTATATTACACTTTACTTCTAATAAAGAATTGACATTTTTAACCATAAAAATTACATATATTGTCCCATTAAACATACTTTCTACTGTATATAGTAAAGTAACACATTTGTAATGAAGCAGTTCCTTTTGGTTGAAATTAGTAACATTTTTACTGATAGCATCATGTATTTTTAAGGTTAAAGGAAGATGTAACGCGTTCTTTGGTCTATTTATACAGCGTTTCACTTTCGCTCTGTTAAGTTACCTCTCTGTGTTTAGGGGAGTTTGTTGTGGTTTCCTCGCCAACGACTGACACGTTGACTCATATATATATTACAAATGTGTTACTTAGAGAGAGAGAGAGAGAGAGAGAGAGAGGATATGATATATTTTTTGTTTTGTTTTGTTGTTGTTGTTGTTTTTTATATAACAAATGTGTTAGTTAGAGAGAGAGAGAGAGAGAGAGAGAGAGAGAGAGAGAGAATATGATATATTTTTTGTTTTGTTTTGTTGTTGTTGTTTTTTAAAGCCACGGATGCTTTTCATTTCTGAGCGATGTGACTAAATAGCACGATAAATTACTCCTCTGTGCTTTTAAATTGTTTCAATTCACGTTATTATCCTCCTCCTCCCTTCAACAGCCCACATTCAATGAACGCAATGGTGGTTGTCCCGAAAAAAAGAAGACGTGGTGATTCAATGCAGCCGATTCCCTTTCTTTCCTCCCCCGGACTTTGGCCTTATACTTTACCGCAAAACGCATCAAGGTTTCTCAGTTGCGTTGGTCCTGCGACACTTTCCGCGCTCATGACCGTCAACAAAATAAAACTGCGTGGTGTGATACACACTTTAGTATTTTTTTTTTCTAGAACCACCTGCTCTTATGCCGCGTTTGGGACAAGCACCAATGTCCCTTTCCATCGCACAAAGAGAAAGCATAGCGTGTATAAACTTACCTTAACAGTAGATAAAGCTCTTTTCCCCAGGCAGCAAGGCTTGTTGCTCCGCAGGCGGGTATCGGAGGGTCAGCGCAGGATGCGAGGAGGAAATGCAACTACAGCCCGCCCCTTCATTTCACGAGATTAAATACAGCGAGCTGTTCATCTTCAGAGGCTGCTCGTGGACTAATAACTGTTATTAGTGCTTTTAAGGAAGTTGCTTCGTCCCATTCTTTGAAAAAATCAATAGTTTTCTCTCCTGGGGTTGAATTTAGTGATCTACTAACGTACAGTGCTGTTGAATACGGTAAATAATGACATTTTAACAGAATGCAACTGTAAAAACCTGTTCATCTTTAAACTGTGAAATATTTAGGCCTGAATTTAAAGGGATAGTTCATCTAAAAATGAAAACTCTCCTTCATGTAGTTGCAAACATTCCAAACACAAAATAAGATATTAGAATAGGTAACCAAGCAGCAGTGGTGTATAAAGTACCTGAAAGCCATACTTTTTACAGTAAAATACAGATATCTTACCAGAAAATGACTTTGGTAGAAGTTGAAGTCACCATTTAGAATATTACTCGAGTAAAAGTCTTAAAGTATGTGATATTTATTGTACTTAAATACGAAAAGTATTTTTTCTTAAACGTACTTAAGTATTAAAAGTAAAAGTACAAGTAAATGCAAAATGGAAAAGAAGCAAATATATATATATAAAATGTTCATACACAGCTTGAGTAGCGAGATTGTGTTCAGTTTTAACTCTTTCTTCCAATTTGTATTTTTGGGTAAGAATTATTTTGGGATAAGCACTTCATCCGGTACTTAGTGTCTTTCATTCCAACATAAAAATATAATTTAGATGTATTTACACAGTTTAAGTATCTCAGAGGGGACATGGATGCATTTAAACTGCAGTTACAGATGCATAAATAGGCCTAATGTTTTGTTTTTAACATAAAACATTGAATACTGATATTTGAAATAATTTACAACATTACAACAAAAATTGTCGAAATGTGAAATTAAAACCACCAGTAGGTGGCAGCAAGTGACTGTTAATGAGTGAGTCATTGTGATTCAACCGATTCATTCAAACGACTGATTCATTCAGAAACAAAGCATTTGACTGTGTTAACAGGTGCGTTCGACTTGAACCACGGCTACAGACGGCAGTCAACGAGAGTAGCAAGTATCAAGCCGGACACTTTCTGCTCTCGTTAGTGACGCTCACGCGGTGTTTGCATACTCTATCACAGATGAATAGAATTAAATGCAATTATATGTCAAATATACAGACGTTTCAGAAACGTTTTCATATATATATCTCAAGTGCGTTAGTGAGAGAGAGAGAGAGAGAGAGAGAGAGAGAGAGAGAGAGAGAGAATATGATATATTTTTTGTTTTGTTTTGTTGTTGTTGTTTTTTAAAGCCACGGATGCTTTTCATTTCTGAGCGATGTGACTAAATAGCACGATAAATTACTCCTCTGTGCTTTTAAATTGTTTCAATTCACGTTATTATCCTCCTCCTCCCTTCAACAGCCCACATTCAATGAACGCAATGGTGGTTGTCCCGAAAAAAAGAAGACGTGGTGATTCAATGCAGCCGATTCCCTTTCTTTCCTCCCCCGGACTTTGGCCTTATACTTTACCGCAAAACGCATCAAGGTTTCTCAGTTGCGTTGGTCCTGCGACACTTTCCGCGCTCATGACCGTCAACAAAATAAAACTGCGTGGTGTGATACACACTTTAGTATTTTTTTTTTCTAGAACCACCTGCTCTTATGCCGCGTTTGGGACAAGCACCAATGTCCCTTTCCATCGCACAAAGAGAAAGCATAGCGTGTATAAACTTACCTTAACAAGCTCTTTAGCTCTTTTCCCCAGGCAGCAAGGCTTGTTGCTCCGCAGGCGGGTATCGGAGGGGCAGCGCAGGATGCGATGCAACTACATTCGTCCCATTCTTTGAAAAAATCAATAGTTTTCTCTCCTGGGGTTGAATTTAGTGATCTACTAACGTACAGTGCTGTTGAATACGGTAAATAATGACATTTTAACAGAATGCAACTGTAAAAACCTGTTCATCTTTAAACTGTGAAATATTTAGGCCTGAATTTAAAGGGATAGTTCATCTAAAAATGAAAACTCTCCTTCATGTAGTTGCAAACATTCCAAACACAAAATAAGATATTAGAATAGGTAACCAAGCAGCAGTGGTGTATAAAGTACCTGAAAGCCATACTTTTTACAGTAAAATACAGATATCTTACCAGAAAATGACTTTGGTAGAAGTTGAAGTCACCATTTAGAATATTACTCGAGTAAAAGTCTTAAAGTATGTGATATTTATTGTACTTAAATACGAAAAGTATTTTTTCTTAAACGTACTTAAGTATTAAAAGTAAAAGTACAAGTAAATGCAAAATGGAAAAGAAGCAAATATATATATATAAAATGTTCATACACAGCTTGAGTAGCGAGATTGTGTTCAGTTTTAACTCTTTCTTCCAATTTGTATTTTTGGGTAAGAATTATTTTGGGATAAGCACTTCATCCGGTACTTAGTGTCTTTCATTCCAACATAAAAATATAATTTAGATGTATTTACACAGTTTAAGTATCTCAGAGGGGACATGGATGCATTTAAACTGCAGTTACAGATGCATAAATAGGCCTAATGTTTTGTTTTTAACATAAAACATTGAATACTGATATTTGAAATAATTTACAACATTACAACAAAAATTGTCGAAATGTGAAATTAAAACCACCAGTAGGTGGCAGCAAGTGACTGTTAATGAGTGAGTCATTGTGATTCAACCGATTCATTCAAACGACTGATTCATTCAGAAACAAAGCATTTGACCGTGTTAACAGGTGCGTTCGACTTGAACCACGGCTACAGACGGCAGTCAACGAGAGTAGCAAGTATCAAGCCGGACACTTTCTGCTCTCGTTAGTGACGCTCACGCGGTGTTTGCATACTCTATCACAGATGAATAGAATTAAATGCAATTATATGTCAAATATACAGACGTTTCAGAAACGTTTTCATGAGCAACAGATATATACTGATTATATACTGCTTAATACATCGCCATCTGTTCAAGAATAAAGTTCAGCGTAAATATATACTATTTAAATACTAATAAAGTGGGGGAATGTATGCTTTCATCATTGTTTTATGATAAACGTGACTCAATATAACATTGCGACTACAGTAAAAAAAACTGTACTTTACTGTTTTAAAAACACAGATTTGTGGCTATTATTGGAATTGAAAAGGTTAGAATAAATCCGAAATACACGTGATAGTTGTCATGCGGTGAATCTGGCCAATCGTGAAATGGCTGTGTCGTCATCAACGCTCCTGCAGCCGCTCTGGAGAAACTGCGCCGGTTGAGTCAGCCGGCTGCTCTCGAAATGCTCTCGCGGTGCTTTGATGCCACACGTGACAGTGACGTGGCGTCGGCGCTGTCTCAAGTCGGACAAAATTACTAACCGGCATGCACTGCTTCAAGTCAGATTGCGATGGATCTGCCCAGCGCTGCATGAAGTCGAACGCACCTATAGAGTGAATCACTGAATCATTTATTCTACCGATTCGTTCAAAAAGCTGATTCAATAAGTAAACACGTCCGTTGCTCAGAGACGCAAAACAGTGCTGTGAATTTTGTTTGGAACTATTTTCGTTGGCAAAATTGAGCAAAAACAAGCAATATTATGTCTAAAATGTAAGTCACTTATTGCTTTATTGAACTTGTATAAAATTATTATTAAATGTGTTCATGCTGATATCTGCAGACAAACGGTACTCTTTGTGTGATATAAATTAAGTTAACTATATTAAATTATTTCAATATAAAAAGCATACAGAAGCATTTTTGCTGTCTACAATTTAGAATGCCTGTAATTTTGCGTTTTAATAAACGAATAAATCACGTGCATGCACTCTGTGTGTGATTTGGTGATAGCCTACTTGATAATGTCAGATCGCACATCATTACAACAACACTTCCCATATTATCGCCGACGATGCTGTATCGCAGACCCCAGACTCGACTTGAGTGGAAAATGAATCATCCGCGGATGTACACGCACTTGTTTGCACATGAGCAAAGGTGTTTTTAGGAGTCTAGACCAAACGCCAGACCACTGATTCGTCAAACCTGCTTTCCTGCAGTCCGTGTTCTTCTGACTTCTGACTATTTTGTAGACGTGGTTGACTCTTAACTTTTATAAAGAATATCTCTTTGGATTTGAGACTTTAGTCTTTGCGACTTTACAGATCTTCTTTATGCACCAAGAGCTTGTATCACTTCAAAGAGAAAGGAAAAATTGAAATCGCATCATATGACCCCTTTAATTGCCTATACAATTCCAATCATTTGGATTACACAGTTATAACAAACTTAATGTGATGCATATTTGTCAGTCATAACCTACATAAATGAAACAGGTAAGAAACAGATGTCATCTACAATTGCATAGTTTATTGTGAATTTGAACATTGTATGAACATGTCTAAAATATGGCTAGCTGCATGTGGAACAAGCAAAATAAATTGTAGTATGAATTATTAGTAATTAATAAAAGTATAATTATCTTATAACATGGAGAAAGCTTATATTATATTATATATCTTATATTTATTATTATTATATTTTATTCATATTTATTATATTTTAACCATGTTATATTATATGAGTCAAAATCATATTAAAATTCATCGGGAAATGGGCATTCCCTACACAAACAAATCATATTTGTTGTGAAAACATGTTTCTTACTTTTGTAATAATTTATGTCCAAGAGTTTTTTTTATGTTGCATTTGTGTTTTTCATGTTTATAACATTATTTTAAAGTCATGCAAGATTTGAGAAAGTATAGATTTGTCATAAAGGTTCTTTTAATTATTTTAAGTACCTACATCGGTCAATGTCCCCCAGCTGTGATGAAAGCAAGGACAAGGCAGGGACAAAGTAAATTATGCTTCCCAATGGACGTCAATAATTCACATTCACAAAATCTTTCACATTATGGAAATAATCCTGACAGTTTCTCAATGCGCACAGCTTGACTTTCTGTTGACTCTCCATTTGATCTCAAACGCCAGTTTACTCTCTGCCCTTTTGTGCACAGAAGTTCCTCTGTGTGCCTTTCTCTTTCAAACCTCAATCCCAGTAACCTAATAAAGTCAAAACCCCATTAGGAGAACACACGACGCCATAGGCAGCGGATATAAGCTGCAGTCACCTGTCTGTGACACAGTTTTCCAGCTGAAACAGCATTAGAGAGGAAAATGTTATCCATCACGTCTGAATTAATGGAAAGAGTCTACTGAGAGAGCGAAGAAACCACTTAAAGTGAGAAATTTCATCGCTAATCTGTATTCTGGCTCTGTTAGGGCTCCTAATGGAAATTAACACAAACTAAAGCGCATTGGATTTGAGATTAGAGTTCTGCATCAAGTTTTCATTCTGGGAGTCAAATCAGATGGAAATCCAGGTACAAGCGGTGACATGAGGGACAACAAACACAGAGAAGATGGTAAGAAAGGATGACATTAACAATGCAGCAGAAGACAGAGAACTTTGAAAAGGAGCTCAGCCTATTGAACTGATGTTTATCCTTTTGAATTTGTCTCATTGTGATTCCCGCCTGGTTCTGTCTGGTTTTGTCTGCCGCTCCCCTGTTATTTTATTGTTGTGTCATCATGCCGTCCTCCGTTCTAAGCTATTAAATGGCAACTTCATGGTAGACGGCAGGAGTTTGTGTGTATATGTGTGAACGGACACATGAAAACGGCCCTCGGGATAGTGAAAAGGACAAAAGAAACCTACTGACTCACAGATCAGAAATGTACACGCACACACTTCCTCCATCAAGTCTCAGAAAAGGCTTTCTTTTCTTTTCTGATTTAGCAGACCAACAACAAGGCCAAGGACAAACCTGCTGTTTCAGGAACGTTTCAACACACAGATAAAGACATGCAACCAAAAAACAAACTGTTTGGTCACTTTTTAAAGGAATAGTTCACCCCAAAAAAATATATTTTATGAAAATGCACACACACTCAGGCCATTCAAGATGTAGTTGAGTTTGTTTCTTCATCAGAACAGATTTGGAGAAATGTAGCATTACATCACTTGCTCATCAAGGAATCCTCTGCAGTGAAAGGGTGCCGTCAGAATGAGAGTCCAAACAGCTGTTAAAGCATCTCAATAATCCACAAGTGATCCACATGACTCCAGTCCATCAATTAACGTCTTGTGAAGCAAGAAACAAATCCATCAAGACATTTTAACTTTAAACCATCACTTCTGACCAAAATACAGTCAATAATCCATAATAATGTTTCCACCAGTGAAAAAGTCTATCCCCTGTTGTCCTCTCACATCAAAATCCACCAACATATATATATTCAGACCTGTTTTGGTTTGTAAATGGTGCTTGATCTGTGCATATTTCTCTCCTGATTCAGAAGAAATGACTTTTTCACTAGAGAAAGCAATATGGACAGAGGACTTGTATTTTAGTTGGAAGCAATGGTTTGACGTTCAAAACATCTTAATTATGGATTTGTTGAGTACAAGCAAGCAGTTTGTCTTTTACTTCCATTACTTATGGGTTACTGTGTTGTTTTTATCAGCTGTTTGGACTGTCTTTCTGACGGCACCCATTCACTGCAAAAGATTAATTGGTGAGCAAGTGATGTAACGCCAAATTTCTCCAAATCTGTTCAGAGGAAGAAACAAACTCATATACATCTTGGACGGCCTGAGGTGCATTTTCAACAAATTTTCATTTTTGGGTAAACTATTCCTTTAAGAGCAAGATAACACAACTGAAAGAAAAAATATGTGCGATTCAAAGATACTTACTTGACACAAACCGTCTCAATGCCAGAAAAAGAGCGACAGGCTTCTGGCAATTCAGAAAATAATTAGTGTTTTGTTGTTCGCTGTCCACATTTTCTCCTGGATATGTTTTAAGCGTGCATGTGTGTGTGTGTGTGTGTATTACTCAGCATGCGTGGGCATCCGTCCTTCAGTGTTATACATGAGCAGCCCATGTGTTGGAAGTCCTCTCAGCAGGATACAATAGTGTACCTTTATTTCAGTCTAGTAGATCACACCATGAGCTCCATTACTGTGAGTGCTCTGAAACCAGCACTGATTGAGTTTGTTTATTTTGTTGACATTTTCAGTACTAAGAAAATATGATTTTCATAGCTAATTCCACGTTTTTTGGATATTTGGAGAGGATATTGATCTTTGAACTCCTTAAGTATGTATAAGTGTATGTTTGTGTGTGTGACAGGAAGAGAAAGAGTATATGTTCTGGCCAGGACTGCCTCCCACATTAGCTCCAGGGATTACACAAGCAGATGAGTGGGTGGCATGTAAAAACAATGAGGGGGCTGCCGTTCGACTCCAAATCTAGAATCTCACACCTCTCTATGTATACAGACACTTGTGAACTCGCTCCACTGTGGGCTTAGATTGGCACAAACAACAGCTGCTGGTAAAGTTTCTTCTGCGCTAACCATAAATAAATGCAAAGAATAAAGATTTTGTGAAAATATTTTTTTTATGGGGGCGGTTTTGTGCTGCAGTCTAAAACAAAAAAAGATGCATTACCATAAATCAATGGATGTCTAATTATATATGCATAATGAGAATAATTTAAACAATAATCACTATTTAACCTATCTGAAATGTGAATCCAGCAAAAGCACAATGTAGAAAGATACAATAATGAAAATATAAGTGTTTGCATTAAGTTGTGTTCAGTGTTATTTTAGTATCATTGAGATATTATAATTTAGAGAGAGAGAGTTTTTTTGAGACTCAAAGCGTATGCAGCATTTTTCATGGAGCACATTCAAATAAGAATGTAGAAAATAAAATGTTAACATTTTGTTTATCAGTTCTCATGATTAGCATTCTAAAGTCTTAAAAGTTCATTGCATTTAGTTATTTTTAGGGTCTCTGGGATACCAAACATACTGTAAGTAATGCAATATACATTTTATGAACATTTTATTCAATTTATTAAGTTGAAATTTTGTTGAAAGGAAATTTAGGAAAGGAGATTCTTACAATCTGGAAAATATCAAGCTGATATTACACTGCACTGCGTATAGTTTTTTGAAACATTTAAAGGTCCAGACAAAACGAGTATGGCCTTAGAAACGCCAAGGTCATGGGTTCGAATCCCAGGGAATGAACTGATAAGATGTAGGCTGTACTGTACACTGAATGCAATCGTTTTGAATAAAAGCGTCTGTAAATGGAAAAGTACATCTTTGTTTGAAAAGGTTCAGCCTTGAAATGGACTAAAATGTAGTCGGCCTTGTGTCCTCTGTTTTGAGAAAGTGGAGGTGCGATACTTGTGTGGGAGGCACTAATTCAGCTACTGATATCGCTCCAGTTCTGCACTCGCTGCGCTCGAGTTCAGTCAGCAGTCTTTCAACTCCAACTTTCAGCGTGATCCAGACGCACTTGACTGACCGCAACGCCACGAAGTGGACAACTAGGCTCCGATGACACGTTAAGAACTGAAAAATAATGGATTATCATGTTAAGCCGAAATAAAAAGATGCACTCTAGTCTGTCAGGCTCCTTGTAACGCGGCGATGCGCAGCGGCAGGTGATGTGGATGCTGACGCGTCGGGGCTCAACTGGTCTCCAAGTGGCGCTTAGGACCCGTGGAAGAACTTTTGCACGATTGGCTTTCAGTAAGATTCGGAATCATGGAGTTGAGGGACTATCCAAAAAGTCTCTATGACAATTTCAGTATTAGTTTCTATTTAGGCATTTATTGTTTATTAAACACAGCTGTGCCAATTAACAAATGGGTCGTTTTAAAGCGCTAATCTAGTATTGTATATTGCAGTACGTTTTAAAACTTTTCTAGGACATTTAGTGACAACACTTGTTCTTATCGAGTTAATCCGGATCCCGTTGGCTCGTATGGGACTGAGGCACTCATCGCGGTGCCTGCTCCTGCGGAGAAAGATGGCGGAGGCGGAGAGCTCGGAGGTAAGTCAAAGATTCCTTAAGTCATCTATAAAACATTAATGCTCGTCCGAAAATTCATATATCTACTTCTAAATCGCTTGAGATTCATTCTAGTTGCTTCCTATGTGTTTAAGTGCACGATTGCGTAAAATGACGCGCTGGTTTGGAGGTCATACAAATCGGTGTCCGGTGATGTGTGTGACTATGTAGGCTAAAAACCACAGAGATCCGAGCTGAGCAGAACACGTCCGATTTCCCAGGACAACGTCTTGAAAGCGATCACACAGACCACACCGAACGCTAAATACAGAGGTTTATATTAATATTTATGTTGCGCGTAATGGTTGCGTAAAGAATAGGCAGGCAGACATCAGATGCAAGATGTTATCTGAAATCTCGAACGCAACAAATTAGTGTATAATTCGTACCTAAACAACGCAGTAAGACGATAAAGTTGGTCGTGTGCTTGTTGAAATGAGCTGTCGTTGCTCTTTTATGCAGTCTACTGGGTCATCGCGAGACGGCTGAGCGCTGTCCTTGGTGCTGCAGTATTCCCTCCCTCTCCCTACCCAGCTCATTAGCATATTCACCTTTGCATACCTGATTTTAATGTTGACGCTGTTAATAGGTCACTAATTAACACAAGCCCTGAATGGCAAGGTGAAGAAAAATCACAAGGTGAAAAGCATCAAAGAAGTGCCTCAGTGCCTTCTGTCCATCTGCTTTGTTAATCGTTTTGTAAAAATATGTGTGACAAAAAACAGTCCATTTTTCCCTCAGTTGCATTCATTCATTAATTTTCACTCTTTTTATCACATGAAAAAAATCCCTTGAAAATAAAATCAAACTTTAAAAAACATTTGCAGAAAAAGGTTCATCGGTTTCATTACTTGTTTTTCACACATATTTTTACAAAACTGTCTACTTTTTAATTGCTTTTATTTATCAATCACACGACAAAATACCTTGAAAAAACATGAAAAAATCTTGCTAAAACTTGAAAAAACATTTGCAGGAAAAAAAAAGAGTATATGCCTTTTGTCCATGTTGTTAATTGTTCTCCACATTCTATACACAATATTTTTTTGACATTTTCCCTATCATCCATCCATCTATCTGTCTGTCTGTCTGTCTATCTTAACATGGAAAGATACCTTGAAAAAAAGATTTGCTGAAAAAAACGCTTCAGGGCTATCTTTTTTCAATTGCTTTTCAACATTTTCTCAATTTTCACTCTTAAAAATAAAGGTTCCTAATGGAGGCTTTTGCAGTGCTGCCATAGTAGAACCATTTTAGGTTCCCAAAAGAACCTTCCAGTGAACAGTTCCTAAAAGAACAATTTCTTCTTGGTGTGAAGAACCCTTTTCCACTATAAAGAAACTTTTTGTGCAATGGGAAGGTTCCATGGATGTTAAGGTTCTTCATGGAACTGTAAATGCCAGTAAAGAACCTTTATTTTTAAGTGTATCACATGAAAAAAATTAAAAAAAAACATTTGCAGAAAAAAATGGACAAAAATTAGTACATAGAATAAAACTAAATTTGATAACACCCCATAGTTCAAACAGTAGGTCATAGTGCTAACAACACCAAGGTCATGGGTTTGATTCCCAAGGAGTTCATGAACTGATAAAAGTCGAAGTAAGAGTTGTTTTAGAGAAAACTGTCTGCCGAATGCGTAAATATTTATTAAACCAATAAGTGGTGATGAAGCACAGTGAATCTATTGTTATACTATTGTCTTGACCAGCAGCGCCAGCATCAGCAGCAACGTATTTCCAATGCCCCCTCGTCCCAGTCCTTGCAACCATCTCCACTACCAAAGCCAGTGATGTCCGTTCATCATGTTCCTCACCCCCCACACACGCCACACGTCTCCTCACTTTCTGTCTGTCCGGGCCGAGGCAAGATGGCCAAGCTACTCAACCCGGAGGAGATGACATCACGAGACTACTACTTTGACTCCTATGCCCACTTTGGAATTCATGAGGTATCTGGAGTACAATTTTACCATCAAGTATGATGAAGTATGCAAGTCTAAGATAAAACTGTGTTTTTATATTGTTCATCTTTGTTGCTTTAAGGAAGGAAAAAACGAGTTGTTTCTGCTTTAGAACTTTTAACACAAGCAGTCGATCATAAGAACTTAAATATGTCACTGAAACCATCTTCTAACCTCATTCAAGAAGAACTGAGAGAGCACACTTTTGATACTCTCACATGTGTAGCATAAGGGTCAAATTGGATCTGTCTGAAGATAAAAGAACAGTTCTTGATAACAGAAAAAAGAAGGACGAGAGTAAGATAGCGAGATGGAGAAAGGGAGAAAGAAAGGGAGAGAGAATTAGAGCGGAGGAAGGGGGTGGTTGGAAAGATGTGTATCAGTTAATCCCAGCAGGCTAAATGGAGACCTGTCTCTATAAAAAGAATCCTGGAGACACTGTGCTTTGTGTCCTATATATTGTCCTCCATAGCCCAGTCAAAGAGAAAAGGTGCGGAAATGAAGGATAAAAGTAATGGACTCAAATTCTCAAAACTGCACCAGTAAAATCTGTACAGCCATACACTGCGGATCAAATATTTTGGGGTCAGTAAGGTATAGTTGTAATGTACAAACATTAATGATAAGTTCTACAAAATCTAATTTAAAACTAAAGTTGTTGTTTTTTCCTCTCAATAGGAAATGCTAAAGGATGAGGTGAGGACGCTGACCTATAGGAACTCCATGTACCACAACAAACACATCTTTAAAGATAAGATAGTTCTAGATGTGGGCAGCGGAACCGGAATCCTCTCCATGTTTGCTGCCAAGGCAGGAGCCAAGCATGTATATGGGGTGAGGACTCAAATTACTCATTACAAGTGTGTTTGCTGTTCTGTACAATAGCTTTGAGTTTGCTAGAATGGATATGGTTCATTCACATTAGTTACAACTATATAAATTAAGAAGAATGTAAATATCTTGATAGTTATGCTAACATAATTAAGCTAATTATTTTTTTTATAGATTGAATGTTCCAGTATATCAGAGTATTCAGAGAAAATCATCAAGTCAAATCACCTGGACAATGGTAAGATTTATAATCTGCTGCTTATTCTTGTTAGGACACAGCACAGTGTTTAGGTCTGATCTGCATTCATGTGTGGAGTAGAGGAGTCATACATTTTCCTGTTGGCAAGTGGAGTTCCATGACACAGGAAGCAGCATATAGTCACTTCCTGTAGCTGACATTCTCCTCTTGTGGTGTGATGGCAGAAGTTGTTGTTTAGTTGTCCACAGTAGCTCTCATTAACACTGGAGTGCAGCAGGCGAGTGAGAAGCCTGAGTCAGCGTTAGAGAGTCACTGCTGTACACACGAGTAGAGGAGTCATACATTTTCCTGTTGGCAAGTGGAGTTCCATGACACAGGAAGCAGCATATAGTCACTTCCTGTAGCTGACATTCTCCTCTTGTGGTGTGATGGCAGAAGTTGTTGTTTAGTTGTCCACAGTAGCTCTCATTAACACTGGAGAGCAGCAGGCGAGTGAGAAGCCTGAGTCAGCGTTAGAGAGTCACTGCTGTACACACACACACACACACACAAATACACACAAGCATGGTAGCTGGACATTGGCAAATTGCCTTTTGCAAAATAGGAAAAATGGTGAGGATGGGTTTGTGGAGTATGCGTGGGAGTTCTGCGGGCTCGCCATGTATATGGCGCTGGATGATGCAACGCTCAACTCTTTGTTCTGGATCGGGGCTAATTTCCATCGCCCCGTGGACCTCCCAGACACCACTGGACTAAGCTGGAGGGAAGGGATCCTCCGGTGTCTGGAGAGCGTCCGGCCCCGATCCAGAACCAACTCTCCGGCATTGCCTCCTGACCTGCGTCCCCCCCCACGGCTTCCCGAACTGTCTCCGCCGCCATGGCCCCCTGAGTCTCCTGATCCGCCATGGCAACCTGAACTCCCTGATCCGCCATGGCTTCCCGAACTGGCTGCTCTGCCATGGCCCCCTGAACTCCCAGATCCGCCCCGATGGTACTGTTACGGTGCGGGACGCGCCTTCCAGGAGGGGGGCGATATCTGTCACATGTGTGTTCCTGTTTAGTTCCTGTTTGTCCTTATTTGGTCCTATCCAGAACCAACTCTCCGGCAGGCCGCCGCTGACTCAGGCCCGCCGGCCGCCGCTGACTTGGTGCTTCTGGACATGGCGCTGCCTCCAGAGTTCTCGGCTCCTGTCCTCGCCCCGGAATATTCCCCGGAAAGTTCTCCTTCGTCTCCGCTGGTCCCGTCCAGCCCTCCTTCGTCTCCTGATTCCCCCGAGTTAACCAGCCTTGCACCTCCAGAGCACCCTCCAGTGTCCGCTGCTCATAAGCGCTCTCCAGAGCAGGCTCCTCAAAAGTGCCTTCTAGAGCGCCCTCCAGTGCCCGCTCCTCCAGAGTGCCATCCAGTGCCCGCTCCTCCAGAGCACCCTCCAGAGCCCAATCCTCCAGAGCCCCCCCAGGATTCCTAGTTTTCCCCAAGAATTTTTTTTTGGGGGGGCCATATACCCATGGCCGAGCCAGCTAAGGCAGGGAGGATCCGCCATTGCCTCCTGAACTGCCTGCTCCGCCATGGCTTCCCGAACTGTCTACTCCGCCATGGCCCCCTGAGTCTCCTGATCCGCCATGGCTTCCCGAACTGGCTGCTCTGCCATGGCCCCCTGAACTCCCAGATCCGCCCCGATGGTACTGTTACGGTGCGGGACGGGCCTTCCGGGAGGGGGGCGATATCTGTCACATGTGTGTTGCTGTTTAGTTCCTGTTTGTCCTTATTTGGTCCTTCCAGTTTCTTTTCCCACTATTAGTAATCACCTGTTCCTTGTTATTAGTTATCCTCATCACCTGTCTGCCCCTCGTTATCTGCCCTATTTGAGTTTGAGCCCGTTCTGTTCTCCTTTGTCTGGAATTGTTCATGTCAATCTTGCTTGTTTTTCTGTTTCTTTCTGATTATTAAAATTAGTCAAATTCTCCTCGCTCCTTTGCTCCGCACTCCTACACAGCAGCAGTTCCGTGACAATAGCTTTATATTGTCTTTATAGTTATTATTTTTTTATGACTTAATACTGGGTTTGCATGTAACCCATTTGATTTCTGTAATGTGACGCATTTATGAGTGAAACAAAAAATGTGGGGTAAGACTTGATTTTATCCATCAGGAAATAATGTACAGAAATTGTTAAATATATTTAGAATAAATATAAATATAAATAAATTGTATTTAATATGCAAATACATTCAATAATAATTGTATTTACTATATACATACATTTCATATTTAATTGTAAATTAAATTGAATTAAGTCAGCTCATCCATTTAGATTTGAGATAAATATAGATTGTTATCTAATTTAGACAGTAATTATAATAATTAATAAAATATTATGTGTTGTATTATTTTTTGAACTCCCAGATCCGCCCCGATGGTACTGTTACGGTGCGGGACGGGCCTTCCGGGAGGGGGGCGATATCTGTCACATGTGTGTTGCTGTTTAGTTCCTGTTTGTCCTTATTTGGTCCTTCCAGTTTCTTTTCCCACTATTAGTAATCACCTGTTCCTTGTTATTAGTTATCCTCATCACCTGTCTGCCCCTCGTTATCTGCCCTATTTGAGTTTGAGCCCGTTCTGTTCTCCCTTGTTTGGAATTGTTCATGTCAATCTTGCTTGTTTTTCTGTTTCTTTTTGATTATTAAAATTAGTCAAATTCTCCTCGCTCCTTTGCTCCGCGCTCCTACACAGCAGCAGTTCCGTGACAATAGCTTTATATTGTCTTTATAGTTATTCTTTTTTTATGACTTAATACTGGGTTTGCATGTAACCCATGTGATTTCTGTAATGTGACGCATTTATGAGTGAAACAAAAAATGTGGGGTAAGACTTGATTTTATCCATCAGGAAATAATGTACAGAAATTTTGTTATAAATATATTTAGAATAAATATAAATATAAATAAATTGTATTTAATATGCAAATACATTCAATAATAATTGTATTTACTATATACATACATTTCATATTTAATTGTAAATTAAATTGAATTAAGTCAGCTCATCCATTTAGATTTGAGATAAATATAGATTGTTATCTAATTTAGACAGTAATTATAATAATTAATAAAATATTATGTGTTGTATTATTTTTGTGTTTTATTATTATATATATATATATATATATA